TATATTTATAACGTTCCAATTTTCTCACGGCGGGCGTGCACGCCACTTCCCAAGTACGTTCGCGAATCTGTCGAGAGCGGTACATCGTCGTTTTGCGCGTCGGGACGATCGATTATCACTATATCACGTAATTCACGGTCGCACGATTTCTTCTTTGAATTTTTCTTCTTTGAGTGCAACACGTCCGTTGATAATTTTTTTCAGCGGGAAAGATATTGCTCGTTTCTTTGTGTTTTTTTCTTAGGTTGGTATACATAATACTTTGGCGAACAACGATGGATCTCGCCGACGATAAATCGTCATCGAGCCGTTCCTGCCAGAATCGTTAGTCGACGGCTAATTATAGTTTCGAGAAATATAGCCGGTAGTTTGTGTATAAAATCACAATGAATAAAAACGCGAAACGAGGACATTTCCTCTACTTTTTTGCCTCGTAAATCATCGATATTCGGTTGCCTAAAAATTCTCAATTGTCTCTCGCGCATACCTCGATTCAATTGTTTCTGTGCTATTTGACTCTATTTTCATGTTTGTGTCGAGCAAAGAATGCAAGGTGATCATATAAATTTTGTAGTATCTGTCTAGAGACCCTATAATAAGAGTCAAGCCATATGATATCCAGTTTTGATTGGTCCTCTAGATCTGAGTAATTCCCGCTCATATTTGAATTATATTAACCTTACTATTAGTATAAACATAATATTTCAGTAACATAAATAAAAAATAAATTTTTTTAGGAGAACTAAATATTATAATTTTTTTGTTAAACATCTTACCTCATAAAGACGAGAATTTTATTTGTTGCCGTAATTATGGACGATGAATGTGTCAGTAGCGCATTAGAAAAGGTTAGATAGGAAAGAGAAGGATAGTGAATATTGAATATATGTATATCTTTCTTTCTCACAGAATTTTGCCCAGATTACCTTAAGGCTAGACTCTTATTATAGGGTCTTTATCCATCCATCCTAGTCATTGCTAGGCACGCACAGTTTATTTAAATGAATAGTCGTATATGTGCGTTCCGCGAAAGATCAAAGACTGGTATTTGATTGGTATTGGACATTTTGCGCGTCAGAGAATGCTGCACGTGGGTCGTAATGACCGATCATTTGCACTTCCTGCGGTGCTGTTTCGATACTGCACAACGTTGTGGCCGTGAGCCAATGTTATATGACTATTAATGACGGGCATATTAGTGACTACGTCACTAACACATATTCACCAGTGCTTCGGCTTTCCATCTTTTTTTCGTATTTCCACTTACACACACTGTTAATGAGCTGCTGACTGCCGTTAACGAGCTGACTTCAATTATGTATCGAGCTCTACCCGCAATCGATAAAGTATAAGGATCATTAACTTTAGAATCTCTCTTTCTCTTTCTCTCGTGTATCCTAAGAAATAACTGCCGGCAACACAATATATCGGAAGAGAAACATTTTTAGCGCAATTATAGTTGATTGATAATCTTATTGTACAAAGAAAAAGATAGAAAAAGTGACGTTCAAAAAATTTCTTTTTTTTAGTAGAAATAAAACATAAATATCAAATTAAAGCTCATATTTTACTGATTATACAAATATACACATATACATATATACATATATACATATATACATATATATACACATGTATATACTTTTATCATGTTATTCTGAACTATTTTGGATCAATAAAATAATAAAAGTTGATTTAAAAATAATACAAGTATATAGGCTCCTGTGTTTGCAATGCAAATAATACGAAATGACAAGACCAAATGACGAGTGTGAAATTCGGATGTTAAGTATATAATTGCTTTGAAAACGAAATTGATATAGATTGTCAAATCAATTTAATACATAGTATACAAACGTTTCGACTTACTAAGTCTTTCTCAGTGTGAGTTAAAAAATAAAAAACACAATTAAACTAAGATTTGCAATACCATAAGCGCACAATCAGTGATTTAATATTAATATTACAGTGAATTCGTGTTGAGTGTCATTGAAATCGTAAAGTGAACAAATAATTTTGCTTGAGATGTAATATACTAGAAGTTTTCAACAGTATCAAAAAGCAATTTCGTCGTGTGATGGCGAGAAGTTGAACTTTTTGTTGTTAACTGTACAGAATTAAGATATTCATGAATTAGATTCTATTACCGTTAGTTGTTAGATTTAAATGTAAAAATTAGTCTAACTTACAATCTTCCTAAAATCTTGGTGGTATCTCTCAAGTTCACGAAACAAATGTCAGTATATTATCAAAAATCGTTAACTTGTTTAATGTTTACTCTTGGCAAGTTCATCTAGGATGTCAAAATATGTGTCGTCAAGCAATTCGGTGTCTGTGTTTAAGTTTATTCCATTTTTTGTTCTTTAATGTAAATCATCTCTGATATTAATCTTTTGTGGAAATTATTTTCAATGTCAAGGATTTTTACATTATTCCAATTGAACATATGATTTGAGTTAATAATATGTTCTGTACCCCCGAATGCTTTGATGAATCTAACTTAATATTATTGGCACGTTCTTTAATTCTAGTCTGTAATTTTCGTTTAGTTTGATCTACATATGACGCCTTACAATTGTTACAGCTAATTTTGTATATGACATTATTATTATCTTGGTGTTCGTTTCTATCTTTTTGTGTTTTAGTGAATTTATCTAATTTACCAAGGCAGCGGTATCCTACTTTGAAATCCGATTTTTTTATTTCAGTTGCTACTAATTCCGAAATGTCCTTGACATATGGGATAATAAAATAATTGTTTTTTATCTTGTTTTTTGTTTTTACTGTTTGAGTTACTAATCGTTAGAGTTTTTATTCTTTTGTTAATTGTGTTAAAAATGAGATAAAGGGGGTACCCATTTATCAACAATATTTCGATACATTTTTCTAAATTCTTTTTGTGGAATGTGGGATGAGATAGTAAAATTGCTCTATCAATCAAATTATAAATTGTCCCAATTTTTAGACACATCGGGTGGTTCGAAAAGAAAGATAAATATCTCCCTGAGCTCGTCCCTTTTTGGTACCAATCAATATATATATGGTTATCTATAATTTTAAACATTAGATCTACGAAATTAATACCTTCGTCCGTCCCATATTCCACTGTGAATTGCAATCTATTATGGTAGTTGTTAAATTCATTAAGAATCTTTGTGATATTTTCCATTGGTGCCAACAATATTATATCATCCACATATTGATAATACAACCCAATGTTATAGTCGTTATTTTTCAGAATTGATTCCTTTAGATCTTGCATCACCAAATACTAAGTTCCATATATAAATTAATCTCGAACTTACATATTAATTTATATATGGAACTTAGTAATCTCAAACCAAGAGATACAGTTCCGAAGAATTAATTTTTCGCGCTTGGGCTCTATTGGCCGATTTAAAACTCATGTATTATTATTATATTCATAAATATTTATGAATCTTTATCATAAATATTGTGTGCTGTCTGGGAATAATTTCTTTCATTTGTATAATGATGAGTCAAGGAAATACTCGTACCATCTATAATAAAAATAATAATATTACAAAAATGTTATTATTATTGTTAGTTGTATAATATATATTGCAGTCAAATAATGATTGCAATTTTTAAGAATTGTTTTGGGTGTTACTTAATTATTTTTTATATCTCTTAAACAATGCGCATAAGATATATCTTTGGAGTCTTTTGGATGATAGGTATACCTATCATTTATGGTGGAAATAAATTTAGAAAAATAATTTGGAGAATCATTTACATACCTTGTTTTGCAGCACCTACGTCTCAATGATTTGGGCAAATGTAAAGAAAATCCAAACTTCGAATTAGCTAAAAAATGTTTTTAACTAACACCACTCTTTAATAGTTTATATACATTTAAACGAAAATACTTTTTTCTAGATATAAAAAAATTCATATTTATATGGAAAAAAAATATTAAAAATATAACATTTTTGAGTTCACCATGTATGCGCCAAAGTGTAGTAGAAATACCTATGACGTCACGATCATTAAACAAAGTTATGTTTATATGAAGTTTGTGTATTTATTAGATAAGTAATAAAATTTCTAATTGATTGAACATTACAACTTTGAATAAATGATTTTGATATTTTATAACATTTGAAAATATTAAAAATATAATAGTTGCATAAATAAACTAATCATTTTTACCTAGTGATACAGCGCAGTCTTTACAGTCAATAATGTTTATAATTTTATTTTGTTTATTAACAATTATTGTGATTCGATATGGTCTATTTCAAACTTTATGCTCAGAATAAATTTTAGTTTTTAAAGTACAAATATATCATATTATCCCTCTAGAGAGAAACAACTTATTGTAAAGTCTGTGTAACTCGGTCTGGTGGAACTAGAAAAAAATAATAATAAATTCAAATTCAGTGTACTATTTATAAGCAAAATTAATATTTAAAAAAAAATTACAGTTACTAACATGTACAGATTTGCTTTTGCATTTCGAACCTCAAGATAATTGAATGATCGTTTTTTAATATAATTCAAAACCATGAAAATATCTATTTTTGTATATTTTTGTAGAAAATTTTTCGGTTTTTGTAAAACCAGGTTTCAGCTTTAAACTCATCACTTCTTATAAATATTTTCGTTTTAGAAACTGATATTTTCGAACTAAAAATGCATGTGCTACTTAATGGCTGTATGTAACACAAAATATATTATGATCGTGACGTCATGCGATATTTAATTAATCAATAGGGTGTAACGTTAGATTGTTTGAAAAAAGTATAAAATTGTATGATTTTTAATAAATTAATACATAAATTTCAGCAAGTGAAAAATTGAATTATTAACATTTATGAATCATTTATTAACTGAAGATTGTATAAAAAAAGTTTAAGACTACCTTATTTATTTTTTTTATCCAATTCTCGCTACGTCTCATATATTGAGTCTCTGACGATCAAGCACATCTTTCTTCTCGAAGATTAGACTAAATCCATCGCTTTCTTCTTTTATAGAACAGCAGTTCGGACAGCGTGCCGGCGGGTCGAGGCAGTGACCCGACCTCGCCCTCGCCCTCACCTTCGGAGGGCAGGCACGCGGAGGCCGAGGGAACGACAGCCAGCTCCAACGTTCTCAAGATGGGCAGCATGGATTCGGCGGACAACGCTCGCGGGTCCTCCTGCGGTCTCGTCAGTTCCCTGCTGCCTAGCAGCTGTCGGGGTAGTGCAGAGGCGTTTGCCCGGTGTCTTCATCGACGGCTGACGTCTTTGAGCGGTGAGAATGGCTCGCCCGACCGAGCCGCGGACGGGCCACGTGAGACCTCGTGGCTGCATCCATTGTCGTCGAGCAATCACCATTCGATCGCCAATAGTCTTACCGTCACAAATCAGCATTCGATTCTTCAGCATCAGCCGCGTCATAGCTCGGAGTCGGATCTCTTCTACGAGCTGGAGGAGGAAGAGGACGAGCTAGGGTCACCGGCTGAGGAAACGACCGCTGCCGAATTGGCGAATTTGCTGGTGAACCCAGAAATTCTAAAGGCGAGTCATCACGATGCCTGCCACTGTTCGCCAAATGGGACCAGGATGACGCCTGGTCTCGTAGGTGTTCATTCTGAAGGTTCCGAGTCTGGTTGCATCTTTGCGTCACCGATCGCCGGCACACCGCCCGACAGCGATTCCCCGGAAATGTTCTTCGATCCAGAGTCTTCGGACGCTGATAAATCGAAGAACGAAGTCTTTTTTGATCCGATCAGCACTTCAGATAGCGAGACCAACAATTCGAATCTTACCAATGCTAGTTTTGTCCGCGCGAGAGTTAAGGCTGCGTTAAACGGACGCGTTAGACGGACAGATACGAATATGGAACGCAGCGAGGATACCACCTCCGAGTCGAGTTGCTCGTCGAGAAAGAACCCCGCGTCTTGCATAAACGGCGATCATCAGCAGGAAGAGCAGATCGTGTGCAGTTCGGAAGATTCGCTCAATGGCAGGAGCTCTAAAGAAACGACATCGCCCAGTCAGGAATCCCTGTGGAGCACGTTTGACGATAGCACTGTGTCTCTCCAGGACGAAAGTCCACCTAGAATTATCAACCAGAATTCTGTTGTTCCTGACAGCTGCCTGCCCAAGTCGCATTCCGATTCTGAGCTACCGAGCAATGGCAAGATGGCAATATCCGACAAATTCAGAACAAACAAGCGAAACGAGGAGGTAGAGGAAGAGGAAGAGGAAGAGGAAGAGGAAGAGGAAGAGGAAGAGGAAGAAGATAACGAAAAGGTCAAGGATGTTGATAAAGTTGACTTCGTCAATGGTATATCGAAGAACGTGATGTACATTAATGGTAGCGAACTCAATGATTTTGTTGACGATGTCGAGGACTCGGTTGACAAGCCGAGAAACCGGGAAGATTACACGGAATCCGCAAATGTCATGAAGAGTACAGTGCTACAAGTGGAGAGTACGGTCACTAATGACAGTAACCAATCTGCTTACAGCAACGCCGTTGATGTTCCAAAAACGTTGGAATGCTTGAGTAGCGACGGGATAACAATCTCGAGGAGCGAGCTAAAGTTGCAGATTAAAAACGATAGCGCGTTACATAATTGCGAGGAAGAGAAGCTGAATTATTTACTGAAAAAGCTCGGCAACAATTCTGAGAAGGAGGATGAGGAGGAGGATTTGTCGTCATCGCCAGACCAGGAGACACAGAGCGAGATTGTGGAAGAGGAAGAGGACAGGCCGCAGAGAGTTCGTAGGTGTTCTTCACTGAAGACTGGTAAAACGCCGCCAGGTACACCGCATAGGAAGAAGATTGTCCGTTTCGCGGACAAACTCGGCCTCGATCTAGCCGACGTGAGGACGTTCCTGGACGAGATACCGAAGATACCCAATTCCGCGTACAGCGACTTGATCTACGATGACATTTTCCGACCGCAACAAGACAATGGTAGTCCGGACACTGCCGCGGCGACCACCAGCGATCATCACTGGTGTGATCGTTATCAGGACGATGGCAGGCGCAGATCCATGTCGGCGATACCCAGAAAGATCGATCGGATGTTGGTACCGTTGTTCCAGCAGCCAGGCGGCATGGCAAACTTTCTGGATTTGGTGCGCCAGCGGCGGGTTTGTCTCGAAAATGTACTGGTGCAGGACCCGGTGACTTTGGCGATTCAGGGTACGGTGCGCGTTATCAACCTCGACTTCCACAAATCTGTGCACATACGATACACCCTCAACTCCTGGCGAAACTTCAGCGATCTACAGGCGACCTACGTATCCAATTCGTGCGACGGATTCAGCGACAAGTTTACCTTTGTCCTCTATTGCCACACGTTATTGGTTGGTCAGAAGCTTGAGTTTGCAGTACGTTTTCAGTGCAAGGGAGCGCAACACTGGGACAACAATGCTGGTGCCAATTACTGCTTTCAGTGCCTGCCTGCCACGTCGTCGACCGGATACATACCGATCACCGCTGATGAGAATCGACGTGGCAGCTGGTCGCCGATATTATACTGATGGACATCCGGATCGGCTTGACATGATAACGGGAACACAGACTGAATCAGTTGTCAATAAAGAGGCTAATTTGGCGTGAATTCGCGGCGCGAATACTTAACCGGTACTTCTAGACAAGTATTCCGCAAAATGTAAGAAACGAAACTTTCGAGATTTATCATTGTTTTCTGATGCTGATTTCGAAGAGTTTTTGAAGAGCTTGCATAATGATTATATCATTAAATTCATGTTTGGAAACGAAGAATTTCTCCAAGTATACACTTTAAGTTTAGACGCTAATAAAAAATGCTCACAAACTATATCTTGGAAGATTAATTTGTAAAATTAACTTTGTTCGAGTTTTATAATACCACGCTAAAATCTTTTGATCTTAGATAGCTTACTCTCCGAAATCTCTTCCCACGAAAGCATTTCTAGAGAAATCGCGAAATATATTCCGCCCATTACAATTTCTCAAACTGTACCTGTCAAGCCGATGGAGTTACACAATCTTAAAAGTTAGGAAATTTTTTCGCGCTAAAAAAAAACATTTGGATCGACAATACTCGATTCAAACTGCGTAATGGCCTAAACAGAGAACATAAAGAAACAAGATTAAGGAAAAGTCAGACGGTTTAAACGTTCCTATGGAAAAAAGTACCTTTTACAGAGTTTATGTCAGAGTTACAGCTGATGAATCACTTATTTGATCCGTACGAATAAAATCGCTCATAGTCGCGAATTTTGTTAGCCGACATACAACGACAGATGATAATAAAATGAACGTTGATATAATAATATTAGTCCTCGTTAGCGACATTCTACGAGTTTAGAGTTTATTATGAGAGAATGTTCCGGAAGACGTTACGCGTACAAACACATTTATACCTTTTGTTCGGGATATTGTACTCGACATTAGGGTGGGACTTTCGAATAATGTGAGATTTAAATGTAACTAGTGCCTCCAAAAAATATATCACTCAATTATATATATTTTTTCAATTTTATGTAATAAATATTTTAATGTTTTTATAAATTGTCTATTTTTTTCTGTCATTGAAGTTATGAAAAGTCGAGTTACTTTCAGAGAAAATTTGTTGCAAGATTATTATCGGTTTCAAAATTATGAATACTGAAAAGTAAAAAATTTTAAAGCAAAAGAATAGAATAAAGAAACAAATATAAGAATTCCGAATATATACTGCTAATTAAATATCATTTTTATGAATGTTATCATTTTGACTCCTTTCAGATTTAATATTTAATTTTGCATTAATGGAGACACATCTAAAGTACATAAAAAATTTTACTTGTCTGAAAAAAACGCGTGTATGTTATTTTGTTTATATATGTATATTATATATATACATGTACAGGTAGCGTCAGTATTGGTGGCAGGCGTGTCCTTCATTGACTAATTATACTTTATTCAGCACATTAAAAATACATTATGTTATGTAGAGCTCGTGACGTTTTACGATGTAATCTCTGTACATATCACTTTATCGATACGTTATACGATGTTTCTCTTTTACGCAATATATATGTATAATATAATGTCCATTGAAAATGTGTTGATTGTGCGAACGAAGACATTTTTCGAGGGAATTTTTTTAAAGTTCGAATTTTTTGAAATAAAGATATTTTCTAATTTTATATTCAAGAATTGTAATATCGTGGTTCTTGGATGCACAACTGACTTCTACTTTTCATACAGTCCTGCAGTCATAGTTTTGCTGTCAGAAATAGTCTTAACTATTTTAGCATAATTATTGAATTGTCATTACATGTTTCTCAGATGTACTTTTTCTTTATAAGTAAATCGCAATTTCAATCGTATATTTAAAGAGTATGATGACATGGATTTTTTTCTTATTGGTTTATCATTTTTATTTTAGTATATTATTCGATCTGTATAACATAAAATTAGGATTTGATACTTTAGAAATAGTAAAATTATTTTGTTATATAATTTTACACACACATACAGATATATATATATATATATAGTATATATGTATATATATATATATAGTATATAGTATATATGTATATATATATATATATATATATATATATGTATATGATATAAAATATATGTATATGATATAAAATATATGTATATAATATATGTATATGTATATATCTTTTTTGTTTTAATGTATCAGATTATACAACTGCTCTGTTGTCGCTTTTTATAAATTTTTATCTTATCTTTTCTTTAATTTTGATTAAGTTTTCCTGTATATATAATCTTGGGATTAATGACGTTGTTTTACAAATCATCTTTTTCTCGTAACATAAATTTATACTATAAAAGTTAAATATCGAATATTACGACCATCATTATTGAGATGTGCATAATAATATGTACACATGTGAAACTGAATCGAATAAATTTATTGTTAGACAATATTGCCTGTAAAATTTTTTAACGTGGAATGTGTCTGTAAATTAGCTTCTTGGTGGAATATTCTAAAAATAAGCGTTGATAGAGTAAAGTAAGATATTTGATGATAAAAACAGATTTTTACAGTCTTTTTTGATCATCAGTTTAATTCCGTACAACAATAGAATTTGATAAGGCTATTACAAGATTATTCAATAACTTACTTATTATTTACTGCATAGTTAAATATTATTAGTAATAAGTAAGTTTAAATTTTCTTTACTGTGGATCTAATGGAGTGGTAATTTGCATATGTTTTTAAATAATTGCTTTTTATATCTTTTAATGTTATCTACATGTATTATCAATTGTCTTCCACAAAAATTTTAATTTTAACTGTTTATGATAATTTAAAGTAGTTCTATCGTTTTTCACAATTCTTAGGAATTTTTAGAAATTTTAATATGTTGTAGACGGAATTAATATCTATCGATTACGAAATTTTGAAGTTAATTCACCGTTTAGTTTAACAGTTATTTACAATTAAAAATAGCATTTTTTCTATACACCACGTGAAAGGATGGCATTTTCATCACATTTTAATATATAACAATAGAACGGATCTTACAATTTTAATAAAAAACCAGTGGGGTATACAATACGAGTGTGGGATTATTTAAAAAAAAAAATAAATTTTTTCCACCGTTTAGTTTCAAAGATATTACTTTTTAAAGAAATGAATTTTTTTCCAAACGGAACATGAAGAGAAATTGCGATGATGATGTGTATTTATACATGAGCTGTTTCTATGTGAAGAGGTTCAGACTGTACAGACTCAACTAAAATTGTTGCTACGGTAACATTGTATAAACGATGAATTTCCTTATCGATTAGAGGCGAAACTTTTAGTTGATATTGTAGCGATAGAACTACCTTAAACATGAAAGAGATAAAATATCAATGAATTTGTCACAATACAATTTTACGTAAAGTAAAAAGTTTAATTAATACAAGAATAAAAGTAAATTTTTATACAATATATTTATATTTCCTTATAAATGTTAAGAAAATTTGTTAACTCGAAATATCTCAAATTACCTTATCTTACTCTATATACATATATAATGTGCGCTAGAAATGTAATAACAATATAAAGATGTTATGTATTGTATGCGTGTGTTGAGAGAAATGCATTGTATGTACACACATGTAACTTACCAGTAAATGCGAGATTGTTAACGAGAAAAGTTACACACCGAGAATATTTTCCTAAAGATTGTTATCAACGGTATATGTGGTTGATTAAGATGTAATGATTATACTGATATAATTGATTTAACAATAATTAGGTAATTATAGAATTAATTAATGATACATAGCGACGATTGAAATTGTATCTTTTGACCACCGAGTTAATCTTGTCGTATAGTTCGCTTCCGTTAGGTATATATATATATATCCAGATAGCCACAGTAATTATTATGACATCATTTTGATGTCATAATAATTATTGTGGCTGTCTGGGTATATACATATGTATATATATATACCGGAAAGAATGGAGAATGTTGCAATAAGTGCGAATGCAAATTATCATTGATTATTTTATGTTTGGGCTTATATATATATACATATATTCTTCTACTTTTTCATCTTAATGGGCTATAAAAATCGATGATTCGTGAATAAGAATAATTGTGTAAATAATGTCATCGTTTGTTTTTGTATTTATGTTTTAACTCAAGGTGTATATGTATATCTGAGTCTCGAAATATCTTTCTCTCTAATAAGCAATCTTTTCTTGCGATTTGGAAGTAAAAGGATAAGTATCTTTGATATAATTGTATAGTTTCTGACTGCTTATTTCAAATCGCAGACTAACATTGGTTATTTTTATTACGAGATATTGCTGTCACATTCTACATCATTTATTATTATGTCAGAACACTTCGTAATGATATGTTCGATATTATATACAATGTAATTAATTAACGGGGCTCTGTTATAGCAATACGTCACAATATTAGTAGGTTCGTAACGAACTATTAATGATAACGTCGTGACAAGGAAAAAAAATTATTTTTGCGATCAAGACATTATAAAAACGTGGTCTGGATAATTTTGATGAAGATTTTTTTTAAGTTCCGTTTATATCAGAGGAAAGTCGCGCACGCGCTTAGAACATACATATATAGAAAAACATAAATGGTTATACATAAATATATACTTACATATATATATATATATATATATATATAAAGTTTTAAGCACATGCGTATAAAGCAGTCACCTCCACAAATAATATGATACGATTAAAGCAATTTTTAATTCATATTTTATCACAACCTACAAGAGGGCAATAAGAAAGAACACAGGAGATTGAGCATGTAGGCGGGATTTTTTCGTCTCCCTCTTTATATTTGTACCTTACCTTAACTTCGTAACTTTAAAGCGTCTCTGTCTCGGACACAGAAGAGAGATCAAGGGATCTCTAGATCATTTTCATCTATGATGGAAATCATTTACTCACTCTCTTATAAATATCATTGGTAATTTTTCAAGATGAAAATTTTATCATATTGCGAATATTAGAAGATAAACTAAAGAAATAACGGTGAAACATCGATAGTTACAATTGTGCAATAGTATAAAATAAAGACTGTTAGAGCTCCTCCCTCAATTCCTTAGATCTCTTGAGAGTATATATAACTGAATATATATAATAAATATATATCACTTTTCTATATATTACCAATTAATTTTAAATTGTTTCTCTAAAATAGGCTTGATACGGCAGAATAGGTGCCTAGAACATATTGATCCTTTTAGGACATTCATTATATTTTTACATTTTATTAATTATTTTGTTTGATTTGTACAATTTGAATTACATATTTACATAATGCCGCATTTTACAGCATCAATGGCGATTTTATCTAGCAATGAGATCTAGTGTATGTCGGTACCGTCCATATACGTCTTTCTCATCCGTCCCGGTCAAACATTTTCTGGATCAATAAGAATTAATATATCGATTAATTCAGTAGAAAGCCTTATTATATCAGACAATTAATACATTTGTGTCATTGATAAAGAAGATATGGATCGATGGAAAATGTGCCTGAACGTTTGCCTAATTAATAATAAAACGAAAAAGCTTTGATATATAAGTATAAAAAAAATAGGA